AATAATATAAATAATACAATATGAAAAGGAACTATCTGAGAAAGAAAATGGAGATGATGAGGTTGAACAATATCTTGCAATAGCTCAGATTCCTAGGGACCAAGATTCTCTAAAATGGTGGAATGCAAATCAAAGACAGTTTCCAATTTTAGCCAAATTGCTAGAAAATATTTATCAAATTCAAGCAACGTCAGGCGCAAGTGAACATGTATTTAGAGATGCAGGCTTGATAATGACAGCTAAAAGAACTTCAATGAAAGAAGACTTGTTTGAAGCATTAATACTTCTTAAAAGAAATGGTAACATGGTTGATATGATGTTTAATTGATTAAGTAAAATTAAATCGAGCGAAAATGTAATAAATATAAATTTATTTGAATTAATTATAATAAATAAATATGTGTGGATAATTGCTGCGCCTGTAAGCTTAGGATAATCCGAATATCTTATAATTTTCATTCGGATTTATCAGTTACTAACTGACACAGGGTATTCGGATACAATTTTTTTGAAACGGATAACCCCATAACAGCATTAGGGTTATCCGGTTCAAAGCTCTAAAAGAATTAGCAATTCTTATTCATATGTATATTAAATCATTAAGAAAATTTATTTAATCAAATAATTTCAAAAAAAATTAGGAAATCCGAGTACAGTAATTTAACAATTTTATTAACAACTCAGTTAAGACAAAAAAGGAACATCATATACAGGACATAATATTTAAATAGAATCTTTAATAACTTCATCTAATTTTTATATATGTTCTATCATCAGATTCAATCCATGTTTATATTTCCATGATTTTTCCGTGAATGTATCATTTTCATGAAATTTATAGCCTTAAATCATGAATATTTTCATCTCTCTAACACGAATATCTGTGAATGTATCATTTTCACGGAATTTTTATGAAAGTCAGAGAAATAATGGAAATATTTGGATAAAAATTTTTTAGAGGGAGTATAAGAACTAATGATATTACTATTACTATGCAAATTATGCAAATTACGAATTTAAGGTCATAAATATCGATATTAATTATTTAGGTATATCAAACTTTTGTGCATTTACCAAATGATGGATAATATTTTATCGTCTTATTACAAACAAAATATCTTTAATAATTTTTTCATAATAAAATTCTGAAAATGTGGTAATTGAAAATAATCTACATAAAAAGCTTCAATTATATTTTCTTTTGTTAAAGGTTCTTTTTTAACTGATTCGTTATAAATATATTTTAATATAATTTCACTTTTAGATGAATAAGTTTTTTTCTTTCATTCCATTATAAAGTAACCTATCAAATACTTCGGATCTTGATGATAAAATTACTCTGCAACCACAAATTTTTTTTTATTAAAATTTTACATTTAAAACCACTTTTATAACATTTAATTTTGTATTATGAGGATGGTTGAATAAGGAAATCTTTTACTGTAAGCTACATCTTAACTAAAAAAATTTCAGTAATTCAAAAAGTAAATATAACATTCTATATGCTTAAATCAATAATACATATTAATTAAAATTACATAAAATTAAAATAAATTTTTTTTTAGTATAAATTTTCTAAGTGAATTTTATTTATTTGTTATTAATATAAAGTATTAAATAAAATTTTTAATAAAAATATGCTTTATTTCATAAATTTTTACTAGTTTTCTTATTAGCCATCACCAATAGTGATATTCACTACTAAGTTCTAATATATAATTTGAATACTATGTATATTATAAATAATACATGTATGATATTCCTTGGCCAAATGAATAAATATGTTGTTTTTTTATAAATTTTTCTGGTAAAAATTCTAAAACAATTTATGTCATTAATGTGATATATGTATGATATCTGATAAAATTTTAATTCCAAGGTTATCTTTCAATAAATTATTAATTTCCAAAAATTTAAGGTTTAATTTAATTAATAATAAATCTATAGGAATAAATATTATATTTAAACGATTACAGAATTATCTTATCCTTGTTTATGAATTCTTTCAAGTGGAGGTAATTGTGTAAAATATCAAAGTATGTATCTAAATCCATATTGTTGAGTTATAATCAAAAGAGTAATCCAGCGATGAATAGTGATAGTAAAAATATATATATATATATAATTAGGTTTTTATCCGAGATAAATTATCGACGTTAAGATGTTTCTTTTCAGAGCGATGGGTAATGATGATTATTAATTTGCTGACTGATTATGTATATATATACACGCTTGCCCATAATTACAATGATAAATTCATATGGGTGAGATAGTATTTTTCTTTTTTCACACCATAATGACTTTTTTACATATCATAGTTAATATTAAAAAAAAGTGCAATATTAAAATTTACTAATAAGAAATATTGATGTTTATCACATAATTTCTCTTTAGAATTTGGTGAAAATTATGTATAAAAAACACTATTATATAATGTCATTATAATTACTGTTATTGATTTTTTTTTTGGAGTTTCAAAAGTCATTTCTAAGTGTTGTTACCCAATTTAAAATAAAATGTGAATAAATAAACAGATTACAAAATCCGTCTATAAATGTCATTATTGCTTTGCTTCTATTAAGATCTATTGAATAAATATTATTAAAATTTGTAGGTATTTAGAAATTGGAATACAAAGTTTATTATTTTATAAACTTTAATTTTCTGATTTTGAAAGATTATTATTTTCCGATGACGAATTGTTATCCTCCTCCAATAAATGAGATTTTCATTAGATTCAGCTGCAGTTGATTATAAGCAATGGAGTTGAAATTGCTCATTATTATATTGTATACTCTTAATTTGTTCTGTATGTGTCATAATAGATTTCTGTATTTTTTTTACATTCTTGTTTATTGCCTGGCTGATTTTTAATCTCCTCGGCATATCCAAATTTTTTATGGAGTCAGTATTATCACTACGGTCAGACGGATATAATAATCGTAATTCAATCGCTTCTTTTCCATAGGTGAGATAAAATGGTTCAAATCTCATGGTTTGTTGTTGAATCGTTCGATAAGAAAACAAAGCCGAGTGCGTATATTAATATCTCCGTATAAATTGTGTCCCATTGAATTTAAATCATTTATTAAAATTAAATCATAAGATGACAATTGTGAATTTGTATTGGTGAATCATAAATAGTGTTTCAACATTATGGAATAATTAAAAAAATAGTTTATTAAGGTGAATAGAATGTTGAATTATTATATTCCATATTATATCCAAATATATTATTAAATTTTTAGATATTGTTAGTGTTGCCACCGGTTTTTGGATGAACATTGATGAATGAAATGAAGATGAAAATTGGAAGGAAATCAAGTGGCACGACTATGAAATAACTCCACACTTGAGCAGCTTGGTTTTCGCGGTTTTGCATCAATTATTATTGGCAATTAATGTGGCGCTCAAAGAATTGACGGGATTAATAACATTGGCCCAGCATCAATACTATCAAAATCAGTAAGTAATTGGAAATGAATATATAAATTTGAATTGGAAAACTATATTATTGATAAAAATATATAATTAAAATGGCGTGGCTTATCCAACTTTATTTAAAAACAGTACAAGGGAAGGTGACGAAGGGCGAATTGTGAAAATTATAAGGGTATCGGTAAGGGACTATTGAATAACTAAAAGCTAAAGGATTTCTCGAACCAATTAATGTTTATACTATGTTATAAATCGGTAGTAATGTAATCTGATCTTGTGAACAAGATGAATACTGAGTTCAATAGTCCATACATTAGTAAATTAAATAAAATTGAATGAAAGAGGAAAAAAAATAAAAAATTCACTTTAACGTGATTATATACTATAGAAAATTTTGTTATTCGTACCATTCCTTTCTATCTTTATAACTTTTATTAAGCATTCTAGGGCTAGGATTTTCTTTTCAAAAATTTCTATTTGCATACTCGAGTCAAAAGTAACGTGAAATGAGATGTAGTTTCTATGTGATCGAATTATGTTGTCAGAAACTTTCGTAACATTATCAATATTGCTTTTCAGAATTTATTAGAATTGAAGAACTAATAGATGTATTACAAGCTTTATGTTGATTTCTTCATAGGCATCCCATTTTTTATAGCGAAAATATAGGTCATAAAATACATGCCGTAATTAGTAATGCGTAATAGATTCACCTTGCTCAATGCCATCTCAGTGCTGTTATTATTAGGATCATTTGTCCGCAAGATGATGATGGTAATATGAGATCGATTTAGTTTTTGATTAAAGAGATTTCATTTTGTAAATTGTTTACTCATTTTATATCATTTTTGTAAATATTGTACTATGTTAATTGGAGTAATAAGGGTAAAATTTAAAAAGTTTCTATGTGTATGATAAGGAGTTGATGTAGTAATATAATGATGTAAGTGTTAAATACGAAATCATGTTAATATGTAAAATATTTATAGAATATATTATATAAAAATGGGATATGTTTGCCTGAATCAAGTTTGTGATAAATAAATCATAATTGTTTTTATTTTGTCTCAGAAAGGCCAAAATATATTTTTTGAATTTAGGTGTTGAGAATATTATATGATTATTTTGATTTTATTTAATAAAATATTTTTAAAGTTGAATAAGGAATGAAAATTTAATTAAAATTCGGTCATAAAAGAATAAAAATGTTTTTTTTAAAAGAAAAAGAGATTGTAGATCGACTATCCATCTTGTCTATTATTATAAATAAATTTGGTCTAAGCCACGAGAATTGAGATTTTACTGCGGAGACAATTTAACGATAAGTGGACGCTTAATGATAATATAATTTCGTTGTTATTTATCAACATATTAGAAATAAATATAGGATTAAAATTATGTACGTAAGTTTAAACATATTGAAATGGTTAATAAAAATTTTTTATCAATATTTTTGTTATTTGTAGGAAATAATTTTTTTTTTTGTTATTTGTCAATATAAAAGGATAAAAATTTTAAGATTTTCAAAGTTACAATTTTTACTTGTTCTTTGAATTTGGATCATCAATTTCACTTGAGTAACCTGAGTAACCAAGGTGAAACACTTTTCTGTGTAACTCACACATAATATAAAGGATTAACAATAGGAATTTTTAGTCCGTACGTGCACAATAATTTATTTTCCTTCAAGAAATTTTAACATTTTTTTTTAAAAAAATATGTCGCAAGAAAAGAATATAATTTCAACTTCTGCAACTTCTGCAGTCGAACTAGCTAATAATAAACATAAAATTATTTATAAGAATATTCAAACAGTAAATCATCCAATTAAATTCTCATTCAACAGTTTCGGTCCAAAACTTACATTTTCAAGGTCAAGATTTGCTTGTTTTGTTTTTAAAAGAGAATATGAAGCACTTCATAAACATGCCTTTCTTAAATCAACTATTTCCAAGCTTGCAACTGAAAAGTGGAATGAATTATCTGATGATGCTAGAAGAGTATATTTGAATTTTAGTAGTGATGCTATTGAATATAATTCTTATAAAACTAGGTCTCCTACTTACCAATTAATTAAATTTTAAATTATTTTATTATATAATTTATCATGTTTTTAAGTAATTTTATTCTTTGTTTAACATTTTATAATAATTAATAACGCTAATTATGTAGCAGTATGTACGGACTACAGACCAAATTATATTATTTAATAAAAAAATTTAATATACATTTTTATTATTTGTGATTTCTCTAAATTAAGTAAAAAATGATTTTTTAATAACTCTGGAAATAATTAAGAAAATTATATATATTTTTTTGTTTGTAAGTTTTATGTTAAATTTCTATTAACATATTATGGATTTTTATAAATACTTTTAATTTTACTTTCATCAAAGTAAATACATTTTTGGAAAATGGTGCCAAGATTTTCTGCGGTTAAGCATTATTTCTGGTATATTACAAATAACCATTTTTACAACCTACAACCTATGGAATAAGTTGATTTAAACACGTGAATAACAACATTGCATAATCATGTGATTTTTCATGTGATTTTCATTATAAAAATAAAACGACTCCTCGTCGATCAAACGTTGTGTAATACAAGTTCTCTTTTTGTTCTTAAAGAAAAAATATTACTTTTGCAAGAAAAAAGTCATGTCTTTTGATTATTCTCAGGAAGTTACTAAAGATTATGAAAAATTACTTGAATCGGATGAAGAATATAATGTTATTATCTATGCCGGTGAAGGTGAAGAAGTAAAAGAAATACATGCACATTCAAATATTTTACGTATCAGGTCTCAATATTTTCGAACGGCATTTTCTAATGAATCGACCAAGAAGAAAGATGGAAAATTTATTTTTAATTTCCCTAATATTTCTCCTCAATTTTTTAAAATTATTCTAAGGTAATGATAAAAAATAAATAATAAGCATACATATATTTGTACAAAATTGCCGCCGCAGTAATTAAGTATAATATTTTTTTAACATTTAGGTTTATTTATTGTGGAAAGATTAATTTGGAGAACTTAAAAGGACCTGATATTCTAAAGCTTTTGATAGCAGTAGATGAATTTAAAATACAATCATTAATCCTTTGTATTCAAGAATATTTGACCAAACATCAACATCAATTTTTACAACAAAATCCTATGGAAATTCTTGAAACAGTCTATCAACACGAAGTCTTCACTGAATTATGGAATTATTGTCTTGAAGAAATTTGTGCTAAACCAGATACATTATTTAAATCTGATAAATTTATCAATTTAAAAGCACCTTTATTAGAATTACTTTTAAAACGAGATGATTTGTCATTGGATGAAATTGTTATTTGGGATAACTTAATCAAATGGTGTTTTTCTCAACATCCTTCTATTCAGAAAGATGTTAAGAAATGGAATAAAGAAGAAATTGTAATTATGGAGAGAACTATTCATAGATTTATTCCATTGATAAGATTTTATCATATTCCTTCTGCTGACTTTATTGCTAAAGTATATCCTTTTAAAAAAGTAATGCCAGAGGATTTAATTGATAATATACTTGTTTTTCATATGACTCCAGATAATCAATTAATTGATATACAACCCCCTAGGAAACCAAAATGTATTTATGATACTATTATCGTAAATGACAAACATTTTGCTATTTTTTCTAGTTGGATTGAAAAGAAAAATCATTTTTATTATAATGAAAAAAATATTCCTTATAATTTTAATTTACTTTATCGTGCTAGTAGGGATGGTAATACACCTGCAGCATTTCATACTAAATGTGATAATAAAGGTGCTACAATTGTTCTAGTAAAAATCACAAATTCAGAACAAATAGTTGGAGGATATAATCCATTTTATTGGAATTCGGTTGGTGGATGGAACACTACTTATGATAGCTTTTTATTCTCATTTACAGATACAAATAACCTTCTAAGTGCGAAAGTAAGTTATAGTAATGGCAATCAATATTCTGTGTATAATTCAACTTACGGTCCAGCATTTGGCGGTGGTCATGATTTATATTTTAATAATAATAATGAGTGGTATAGCAGTACAATTACAAATTTTTCTGACTCTTCTTATCCTGAAATTGGTATACCAGCAAAATTTAAAGCTGATGACTTTGAAGTTTTTCAAATTGTTAAAAAATAACTAGATTAACATCCATTGTTTATTTATTTATTTATTTATTTTTACATTATAATTCAATATTAGGAATGATATAGTTATTAAAATGAATAGTGCAATAAGTTCAGTACCTTTGAAACTACATAATTCATTATTTTTATGTTTTAGATAGAATGAAACTTATTTTTTTTTACGAATATATTTTTTAATGAATAAATACAGATTTTTGCATAAAACACTCACTAATGATTGAGAACTAGTAACTTGATAAATTGCAAGTTTTCAAAGAGGTAATTATCTCTTAGTATATTTACAAGGTTGCTGGGTCCAAAAAATATCAGTAGGCTTTCCGTTTAGACAAACTTTAGATGAACCAGTCAATGAGTTTTTCAACATTACTACCATCGATTAAGTAGTTAAGAGGGACGCTTAAGCGTCATTTATTTAAATTTCATATTTATATAACTAGAATGAATTTATTTTAACGCAAAATTATTTTTCATATTTAATGCATGAAATATTTAAAATGAAAAATTAAAGAATTTGAATGCATGTAATAAATATATATGTTTCATGTCGGATGATAACTGACATTGCGACAAATGTAAATTGATACGATGCGTGTCAGCTGTATCGCACAATCAAGTCCTCTACATTAAATAGTACTTTTTATTTATTAATGGAATTACTTTTTTTCTATAAATAAATTTGTATAGCACTATTAATTATACATATTATGAAAATTTTATACTTATTGATTTATATGAATTCATATATTATAAATTATGAAGTGGTTTTCCATAAGCTAGAGTCTAATCAATCTGATTTATTTTAGATTACATATTTTCTAATACGATAAATAACATTTATTTAATAATAAAATTAATTAAGAATAGATGACAAGTTGACACGGTGCGCTGTTAACTATGTAAATCAAAACTATATCAAGTCGCCTATGATTTTTATATAGTTAATATTTTAGAGTCTAAATTTGATAGACGAAATTTTAATAATAAATTACTATAAAAAACAGCACATTTTTTTTTAGATGCACAGATCGAACAATTTCTTCTTTCTCAAATATTTTACCATTTATTAGCTTCTTCAAACTATCTTTACAAAATTACGAAGCTATTTTTTACATTTACTAGCAAATTATTTTTCAATTGGAATTTTAAGTAGTTTTTCTTTTTTGAGGTCTGATTTTTTTTAAGTATTTTATTATTAACACACAAAATGGCCTCGTAACTTTGCTAATAAAGTCATGTTCTTAATCTTAATATGCTTTTTTTCTCAAAGTACAGAATAGTTAAAGCCACACATCTAATTGGATGTGAAATATAATATAATGTGTACTTGCAAATCATACATTGTTTTCAATTAAAGGAACGAAACAGTCAAAACTCTGTTTGTCGTATGTTAAAATTTCAAAAGAAAATTTGGAAAGTTAAAGGAAGTGCAAAAACAAAAAAATGAGTCACTTCAGAAAATACAGCCTCAGCTATTTGGGCCTGATATTGCTTCATTATTGTAACATTAAAATTTTTAACTCATTGTTATTATTATAAAAAATCCTTAATTAATAATTTTATTATATAACTTGATATAGTTTTGATTTACATAGTTAACAGCGCACCCCAACGCGTCAGGTATCAATTTATATCTGATACACGTCAGTTAGTACCACCTGAAGAACCGACGCTTGAGGTACAACATATACACTCATTATATTTTCCTTTTACTCACAATGAATTGTAGTTAAGTAAGATATAATCTTTACTTTTATATTAAAAGCTTCGTTCAACAGAACTAACGATTTTGTAAGAGGTTATATTTTGCTGTCATGCCTTGCTGCTGTCGTAAAAAAAATAATAAACAGTTTTGATATTGTTACAAACCTATTTACGTAAAAGTTATTTTGAAGTATTGAGATCAATTTAGCCACCAACATAGAGGAGATATTATCGTTAATATTATTGGGATTTTTAGTTAAAAATGCCTAAAAATTAATTAAAACTTTCTAATATTGTATATCATCAATTCAATCTTTATTTTTTAATATTTTTTTTTTCTATTATTTTTTATACAGTACATTAACAGTTTATGCAACAATATATTCTGGAAAAATCACTAGATTATTGGAATTTCTAGTTACATAATCACCACTAATATCGGTTTAAATATAATTTCAGAATACTGGCTATGTTTGCACAAGTGAATTAAATATGATAAGATCATCGATTGGTTCAAGTCAATGTTCAAGTCCAACATATAATAATAAAGTGATAAACTACTAGCATTGAGCAAGATAAAGTTGAGCATTTTGTAGATAAATTGATCAATCATAGTTATAAATTTTGATCGATTAACTTAACGCTAGCATGGTCGAAATTATTATAGTGCTGGTCAAACTTACTTTGCTTAATCATATGATTGATTAACATGTGATCAATTGAACGTTGATCTAAATTGTATTTTGACCAATTAAATCAGTCAATCAGAACAAATTTTTAGAACCTAATAATCAATTCTCTTACATCAATATAACTATCTGACGTTTGGATTACCCGTATAAATAATTTGAATCGTGTAACTTGAAATCCCGCCATATAATTAAAACCTTGACATTCATTTATGGTCAAAAACTATTCGCATTCCAATCAACTAATCCAATTTNTATTATTAACACACAAAATGGCCTCGTAACTTTGCTAATAAAGTCATGTTCTTAATCTTAATATGCTTTTTTTCTCAAAGTACAGAATAGTTAAAGCCACACATCTAATTGGATGTGAAATATAATATAATGTGTACTTGCAAATCATACATTGTTTTCAATTAAAGGAACGAAACAGTCAAAACTCTGTTTGTCGTATGTTAAAATTTCAAAAGAAAATTTGGAAAGTTAAAGGAAGTGCAAAAACAAAAAAATGAGTCACTTCAGAAAATACAGCCTCAGCTATTTGGGCCTGATATTGCTTCATTATTGTAACATTAAAATTTTTAACTCATTGTTATTATTATAAAAAATCCTTAATTAATAATTTTATTATATAACTTGATATAGTTTTGATTTACATAGTTAACAGCGCACCCCAACGCGTCAGGTATCAATTTATATCTGATACACGTCAGTTAGTACCACCTGAAGAACCGACGCTTGAGGTACAACATATACACTCATTATATTTTCCTTTTACTCACAATGAATTGTAGTTAAGTAAGATATAATCTTTACTTTTATATTAAAAGCTTCGTTCAACAGAACTAACGATTTTGTAAGAGGTTATATTTTGCTGTCATGCCTTGCTGCTGTCGTAAAAAAAATAATAAACAGTTTTGATATTGTTACAAACCTATTTACGTAAAAGTTATTTTGAAGTATTGAGATCAATTTAGCCACCAACATAGAGGAGATATTATCGTTAATATTATTGGGATTTTTAGTTAAAAATGCCTAAAAATTAATTAAAACTTTCTAATATTGTATATCATCAATTCAATCTTTATTTTTTAATATTTTTTTTTTCTATTATTTTTTATACAGTACATTAACAGTTTATGCAACAATATATTCTGGAAAAATCACTAGATTATTGGAATTTCTAGTTACATAATCACCACTAATATCGGTTTAAATATAATTTCAGAATACTGGCTATGTTTGCACAAGTGAATTAAATATGATAAGATCATCGATTGGTTCAAGTCAATGTTCAAGTCCAACATATAATAATAAAGTGATAAACTACTAGCATTGAGCAAGATAAAGTTGAGCATTTTGTAGATAAATTGATCAATCATAGTTATAAATTTTGATCGATTAACTTAACGCTAGCATGGTCGAAATTATTATAGTGCTGGTCAAACTTACTTTGCTTAATCATATGATTGATTAACATGTGATCAATTGAACGTTGATCTAAATTGTATTTTGACCAATTAAATCAGTCAATCAGAACAAATTTTTAGAACCTAATAATCAATTCTCTTACATCAATATAACTATCTGACGTTTGGATTACCCGTATAAATAATTTGAATCGTGTAACTTGAAATCCCGCCATATAATTAAAACCTTGACATTCATTTATGGTCAAAAACTATTCGCATTCCAATCAACTAATCCAATTTCGGTTAATGAATTTTACCTTAATCGGAAATTATATTAAATATATTTAATCATTATTTTTTAAAAGAAATCAATATAACATATAGGAAAATTGACCGACGTTGATAGAAAGATGATTAAGATTATTTCAATTAAATTGAACGCTGGATAAAATAGTTTGATTTCATAAAAATCAAAAAAAATTGATATTTTTACAATATTTATAATTAATTGATTTAAAAATAGGTTATTTAACCAAATCCTATATCCAAAATTTTCTAAATAATCACCAAATTTTTGAATAAAGATTTAATTCAAATGGTTTAGTTAAATTAATAATTTATCGAGTAAAATGAGTATCAAAAGGAAACTAATAATAAATGAAATGAACAGATTCTAATACATTTAATTGTTCAAATATTTTTCCTAAGTTGGTTATAAGTTTAAGATTGACGTAATGAAAATAATAAGAAATAATTATAAATTTATAATTAATTAATAAAAATATTTGTAATATTTTCATAATATTAAAGTTTTTTCGAAAATACTTCTAAAAAAATTAATTAAATATGAATTATATAAATTCTAATATTTATATAAATATAATTTAATACATATTATTTTATTCTTTTTTGTTAACTAATTATTACCATATTAAATTCCTAATTATAAAAAAAAACTACTGTAACCATCTTTAATTTACTTAGTATTACATTATGATACTAAATTTTTCTATTTAAACAAAATCATTGGTTCAGAACTTCAGATGCGAAGCAACGGGTGACTGCTAATAGTTAACTAATTCATTTCATTTAAACCTCATTTTCATATTCATAACTTCTTTTAAACAATCTATTACAAGCAGTATCCTATAATAATATTAGGTTAAGATAAAACTAACAAGTGATTAATCTACGAAATTGAACTTAAATGAATATATCATCTTATCGTTATAAATTTTATTAATGTGATTTATCTAAATAAAATATTGCGTAATTTAAGAAACCAATGGGAATTAATTATTAAACGTCCCCGCGTTTAGTATTCTATTCTGCAATAATACCTAGACTTGGTGGAATTGTGAAAATTAATTGCATTTTCTGTTGTTAATAAAATAAACCATTTCAATTTTCTAACAGACGTTCAGTTGAGGTAGTTTTAAAGTAAAACAGTCACCTTTATATTCATACTTAATAGTGATAAGCTATATCCTGTAATGTAATTTTCAGTAATGATGCAAAAATTTCGGGTATAATAGAAACCAAAATTTTAAGTCATTATACTCCCTACCAACCTTACCAAAAAGCCTAAAGATAATCTCGTACTGTAATTTTCATTTTTTTTTTTTTTTTCATATGATATTTTTAAAATGATTTACGTCAATTATACGCAATATTTTTTTTTATTATGAAATGATTTACGTCAATTTTACGTATATCGTTTTTTACTATGAAGTGATCATTTACGCCAATTTCACGTGATTTAGGTTTTTTTTTCAACATATTATCCTACCGCCCGTATAAAGAAAGCTTTTAGGGTATATTATAAAAACGTTAAAAAAGATTTACATTTGGACACTACTAAATAAATTTAATTACTACAGTACAGTCTTTTTGTCATTCTTGAAAATTATGTCTTTCGATTATTCTCAGGAAGTTATTAGAGATTGTGAGAAATTACTTGAAACCGACGAAGGATATGATGTTATTATTTATGCCGGTGAAAATGAAAACGTGAAAGAAATACATGCATTTTCAAATCTTTTACGCATTAGATCTAAATATTTTCGTGCGGCCCTCTCTAAAGAATTGATCAAAAATTGCAAGAATGAAAAATTTATTTTTAATTTCCCTAATATTTCTCTTCAATTTTTAAAAATTATTTTAAGGTAATTAAAATAAATATTAAATATATTATTTATACAAATCTACTGCCGCAGTGTAAACTGTGTATAATATCTCTTTTTCTTTTTTTTCAAATTTAGGTTTATTTATTGTGGAAAGGTTGACTTAACAAACTTACAAGGACCGGATGTTTTAAAGCTTTTGATAGCAGTAGATGAATTTAAAATACAAACGCTAATTCTTTGTATTCAAGAATATCTGACTAAACATCAACATGGATTTTTACAACAAAATCCTATAGAAATTCTTGAAACAATCTATCAACATGAAACTTTCACAGATTTATGGAATTATTGCCTTAAAGAAATTTGCACTAAACCAGACATATTATTTAAATCTGATAAATTTGTCAATTTGAAAGCACCTTTATTAGAATTACTTTTAAAACGAGATGATTTGTCATTGGATGAAATTGCTATTTGGGATAGCTTGATCAAATGGTGTTTTTCTCAACATCCTTCTATTCAGAAAGATGTTAAGAAATGGAATAAAGAAGAAATTGTAATTATGGATAGAACTATTCATGGATTTATTCCATTAATAAGATTTTATAATATTTCTTCAGCAGATTTTATAACTAAAGTATACCCTTTTAAAAAAATATTACCAAAGGATTTAGTTAATAATATACTTGTGTTTCATATGGCTCCAGATAAACAATTAAATATTAAAATACAGTCCCCTAGGAAACGAAAATTTGATTCTATCAACGTAAATAATGACTCATTTTATGACATTTTTTAAAATAAAAATTTCATATAAAATAATACAATAAAAATAGTACTCTTCTCCATTTTCTTGTTGTCCAATTTCTGTGTGCAAGAGCCCATTCAAGACGAGCCTGACGATGTGTTTCTGTCATTGCAGGTTTTTTATGGGGAATACAGGCATTAAGTCCAACTTTTTTAAGGTTACGGCATCTTGTAATTGCAGAAATAAGCTGTTTTTTACGAACTTCCCATACAGTTGCAAGCTTTTTTGAACAAAGACGATGATTTTTATCATTTTTTTTGAACAAAAGCTTTGAGTTCTTGTCGTGCTGGTGAGTTAAGGGGTGGTAAGCGACCTGATCTTTTTGTAGGTGTGAAAGAGCCAGTTTCATGATTACATTTAAGTATATTATAAACGGCAGTTTTACTAAACCATAAATAATCGCATATCGAGTTTTTGGGATGAGTGCCTTAATTACTAAAAAAAAAAAAACATTACGTATTGTTTATAGTACGTCATCACATGATGATCTGTATAATTTAGCAAAACAACATTGATCGCCTTCTGTAGGGATGGTAATACACATACAAAATGTGATAACAAAGGAGTCACAAATTCGGAGCAAATGTTTGGAGGATATAATACACTTCAATGAGATTTAAGTGATGAATGGAAGTCTAATTATGATATCTTCTTATTCTCATTTACAATGAAGATACAAAAGTAGGTTATAGTAATGGTAATCAATATTCATAGGCAGTTTTACATATTATGGTGCATTCTTTGGTGTAGGCAGTGATTTATGTTTTAATGATGGGATATGGTATGACTGTACAAATAGTTCATCCTCTTATCCTAAAATTGATGTACCGGAGAATGGGTTTAAAGCCAATGATTATGAAGTTTTTCAAGTTTTTAAAAAATAATTAGATTAGCATTCATTACTATTAATTTATTTATTTTTAATATGGTATTCTTCAATATTAGGAATGATATATCTACTAAAAATGAATAATGCGACAAGTTCAGTATTTTTGATATCACATAGTTCATTATTTTTTATGTTTTAGATAGAATGAAACCACTTCTTTTACAAATATATTTTTATGAATAAATAATCGATTTAGTAGTTGAGAGGGATGTTTAAGCATCATTTATATATTTATGTAATTAGAATGAATCTTTTTAACGTAAAAATTATTAAATTATTTAATAGTTAACTTGATCACATATACAGTAATAAAATATATATACTATATATATTATATTTTCCTTTTACTCAATTTATGTGATAACGGATAGTAGTTAAGTAAGATGTCATCTTTACTTTTGTATTAAAAGCTTCATTCAACAGAACCAACGATTCGTAAGAAGTTTTATTTTGCCGCCGTTATACCTCGCTGTCATTATAACAAGGATAATAATTAGTTTTAAATTTTTGGTAGAATTTTAGGCATTGTATGTAAGGAATAATATATTATTACAGACTTAAAAATTGAAACTCCATTGATATTAATGGTTAAACTCTCAAGAACAGTTAACTGGACTTACAACTACTGTATAAATGCCTAAAAATTAATTAAGTCTGTATATCATTAATATTTTCTATTGACTTTTTTATACAGTACTGTACATTAACAGTTTGTGCTTCTGGAAAAATTATCATCATAAAAGTCGCCCAACATTAACATAATTACAGCCTATGTAAATTTTTTTGTCTTTCAGCTGGTTACGTGATAACTAATATCAGTTAGACGTTAATTTCAGATTACTGGCCATTCTTGCACTAGTGAATTTGATCAAGCCAACCATGATCGATTATTGATTGGACCCGGAAAGTCTTATATAGGTAAGGCGCAGCAAAAAATTTATTATTCTCTTCCAGGGCCGGAATTATTATAATGCCAGCCAGTATCAAAAAAAATTATCCATAAAAGGAGAGATCTACGTGATTATTTTTGCTATTCACGCACTTAAACACCTTATCTACACGAGACTTTTCCGAGGGTCCTGTTCAAGTCAATGCCAAAGTTGTACAATAATCGAGTTATAAACTGGTAAATGAGAAATATAAAGTTAAGCAATTGTAGATAAATTAATAAATTTTATCAACTTAACGCCAACAACATGACCGAAATTATTATAGTGCTGGTCAAATTTACTTTGATTATCAAATAATTGATTACATGTGAATGTGAGCAATTATGATCAATTAAACGCGATCTGTACTATTTTACTATAAAATGATTTATGTCAACTTTACGCAATAATTATTTCTATTATGAGATGATTTACGTCAACTATTCCAATTTTGTGTGCTTCATGTTCCTTTTATATCTTGGTACAACTGAAGAATCTCTTATCATAAATCTGAATATAAGTTAGAGAAATTTGTTTCACATGATATTGCAACAATTTAAACCTAGAAATTGCACAGAAATAACTTTTGAATATTAAAGTATCGTTGAATGATAGTTTAATTAAGATAAAGGTGCTTGAATATTCTAATAATGTTTTCATTAATAAGTATGTTTTACCATAAAATTTTTTAATTAAAATATCAAAAGTACAAAAGTTTTTATTGGGTGTGATCATTACCGTTGGCCGGAATTATCAATTTTTACCGGAACTATATTTTTTTAATGCTGGTCTATCGTCATAATTTCAGTCAATGGTGATCATCATCATCACCCTTGGTGATAGTTAGAAAAAGTCTATTGAAAATATTTAAGCGTGTTAAATCAGTTAAGGCTAAAATAAGGTTAACACGAGAAGCGGACAAAAATTCCATGAATGGGGTGTTAACACCGTGCTTATAAAAAAAATGATGAAAAAATTTTAGTAAGATGGTTTTATAGTGGAAGAATGCCGGCTTACAAAATTAAACAATGATATTCTTGGCAAGCAACGGTTTATAGTATATTAATATATTTTAACAACGAACATAGGATTATGAAAGCTATATAGATCGGCGATGATAGAAGAGTTATGAGCGTCATTACAGATAAAAAGTCAGCAAAGAAAGAGTTCGTTTTGCGTCAACAAATACCACGTCTACACGACAATCAGCAGATCTTTTGGTAGATGGCGGACGATATTTTGATGTGACGGACCAATTAGAAGTGGCGACATCTACACCAGCACCCACGCCGATAAACAATCATCACATACACATTGGAACAAGCAAAGAGGCTGTAGAAGAATTTACACATTTAAATGAAGACTATAGTAAAAGATTGCTGTTAAGGCCACTAGTTTCGACGAAACCAAAAGATGATAATAAAGTTCAAATGACTCAGATGAGACGAAAGATAGTAATAAGAAAAAACGTAAAAAAAAGAAAGTGATTACACGTGGGATATAGCATCATTATTGAAATTATGAGTTAACAGAGTTAATATAAAATATACACAATTTGTAGGAAATTTTTTATTTCGACAAAACTTGGTTATCTTTTTTAAATAATTTCATAATTTATTATTATTTTAGAATAGATTGGTTAATTATAGGGTTAATAAATTTTAGTTGTTTACCTCTATGTATTTCTAAAATTAATGTAAAATCTATGTTAAATTGATTTAATTAATAAAGAATTCGTTATTTAATCAAAAAAAAAAAAAAAAAAGAGTTAGACGTGTTATATAAGCTCTAAGAGAATTAGTTTAAATTTTGATCATATTGGTTAATTAACTAAGAAATTTTGTATTATAAACATGTAATAAAAATTTCACATATTAATCCTATGTAAAACTAATAAATCATTTTAATATTTAATAACCTCAAATTTGAAAAGTTTATTAATTTATGCATGATATTAGGCTTGAACAGATAAAATTTGGTTAGTAATTCTTTAGAGATTTTGATTTCATTTCATTATGAGTAAGCAAAAGATTTAACTTAAAACAGACCCATTTGTTACACAAATTTGCAGAAATAGTAATGCTATTATACTGTCATTTTTATATCCTTGATATCCCTTGATTTATTGTATCTGTAGAGTATTACTCATAATTGCTAATAATAATTTATTGCATATCTATTGTTGATTATAATACTATATAATGAGTCATTGCGAATTTTCATAAAATAAGCATGTTAAATGATGTTAAATGACAATTTTTTAATCATACATGTAATTAATAGTACTATTATGACTAATAAATATTAGTGTTTACTAAATTTTGTATAACAGTTGGAATTATATGTTTAAATGATACAATTTTATTTGGTCTAAATCTGTTAATTATAGTAATAACTAATATTGATACAATATTACAATATCTTACATAATTTGCATAAAAGTTTGTATAAGGAAAAATACATAAAAAGTCCATTATTTTCTAAAAATTAAAAGGTTTCGTAAAAAATTCATAATTAAGGAAAATGCCAAGGATATTCTAATATAAAGCAACAAATATTAATAATAACAACAACTAAAAACAATATTGTAAGTATATACTTACTTAATAATTGAAATCACTATAAAAATTATGGGTTTTGTTGTTATGGTGATTGAAATCACAATGTAATTTTTTGGATCTTTTACTTAATAATTGAGATCACTATAAAGTTATGGATTTCATTATTATAATGACTAAAATCACAATATAATCTTGGATTCTTATTAACTCTTTTTCTTACTTTTAGTTAAATAAATATGAAATAGATAGAAATGAAAGGCACCTAAAGAAGAAAATCTAAATCTTCACAAAAAATTCAATAATACAGTTTGAACAGAATACCAAAATATAATATGTAAGTATATACTTACTTAATAATTGAAATCACTATGAAAATTATGGATTTTGTTATTATGGTGATAGAAATCACAATGTAATTTTTTGGATCTTTTACTTAGTAATTGAGATCACTA